GAGGTTGCATTTTAGAAGTTAGTAAGTGACAGACAAAAAGTATCATCTAAAATAAAATAATCATTTTATGAAATTGCCTATTAAACTACTCACAGGGTTCTTTCTATACCTTAAAAACATAAGAAAGAAAACCTCATTGGCATTATATAAGCTCTTCCCTAAAATGTTATTTTATTATTTTTTATTAGGCACCTTCTTCAGTTTTGAGCTGTACTTACTATGAATTACAATAAATTTAAATCTTCTTTAGATACTAACAGTCAGATAAACCTTTTCACAATAAATAGTATCCCATAGAGAAAAATATATAGATTTAAAGTATAACTAAAGTCATGATGTGTAAAAAAAGTATATACTTAGTATATATTAAGTCTATTCACCGTATTGCAATACATAGGTATCTCGATATCAGAACTAAGTAAACCATAAAACGTCGTCCAATGAAGTGATGTGGAATGTTTTTCACGGATGCCGATTTTTATGGTGCGGCTGGGGTCCTTTCAATCTACTAATACAGTAGAATCTACTGAATCTCAGTCGACAACTAACTCGAGAATACTATAGATCAGAACATCATGTATAAAATTCTGTCAATTTATACATAATTAGTGTAAAATCTTATTTCTTATTAACATATTATAAAAGTGAAAGTTATTAACGATGGATGGATGTATATGCGTTTGTTACTTTTTTTTACGCAAAACTACTAAATGGATTTGAATGAAATTTGGTACACGGGTAGGTTATGTCCTATCTTAGCACAGAGAATACTTTATATACTGATCACATGTGTAAAACTGCAAGATATAGTCAGTTCACATATAAAAATTATACGACAGCAAATTTATGTTTCTATAATTTCCAAAAAAGGAGGATTCGTTTAAGTATTTTACGATTATGTCGTCTCGTCAATTCTGAATCGATTGTCATAATTTTTTTTACAATCAACCGAGTTAATGTTGATCTCGTTTTAATTTTATAATAATCACAACTGCTTTGTAGAGGAAAAATCTGCTTATTAACGATTTTTACATATAAAAACGCAGTATTTATAATGTAGGCATATGTAATGAGCTAAGTCAATGTTAAATATGAAACATCTCCTTTATTTATTAGCGTTTCCACGATTGTGAAGTCACTTGTTTTTTGCTGCATTGTACTAAGTATATACTTGCTTTAAAAACCATTTGTAATCTAATTTGAGTGCGCTACTCATCGAAAACGTTTTAAAAATGCAAAACAGGTTGATCTCAATTACGTGTAATCCATTAAACTGATTCGCCACAATATAAAACGAATTTATATCGGATACAAAATTTAGAATCGATATTATTAACATATTCACCCACGCGTGAGTGGATATTTAAATAGTAGGGAACAGACCCCTGAACCGATCGCCTCTAGAGATGGTCGAAACAATCTCATTTTCTCTGTCAATTACATTAGAAATCTCACTTCGGGGCGAGAATGCATTTACATACGATACGTGCACTCGACTTGATTGCTCAAGCGCAAATGATGAGTGGAATTGGAGTACCACGGCGCCCCACGGCCACTGTTCACTTCAATGGTCGTTTGCTCTCTCCAATATGAAGGCCGGCAAGAAAACATCGTCCAAACGCGAAGCTTCTAAGAGATATGTCCAAGTGTGTAAATTCACAAATTTGTATAAGATCACTCTGCCAAATTGAAAAATTTCTATTTTGTTGATAAAAGAAAATATACCTGTATTAATAGAAAGTTCTCCAATATTTATAGATATTTGATTGAAAAAAGTAATATTTTAAAGCAATGAACTTATGTACAATTACCTACTGGGATTTTTTTTAATATAATTTTATATATTTCATATTATTTTCATTTAATTTATTTCATAAAAAATTCTACTTGCTTTATTGCCGTAATATAAAAGATAGGAGAATTGATAAAGTTTTCATTTTCAAAGTCGGTTCATAATTTGTTGATACAACAAAGTGGCAATCACTTTTATTTGCAATAAACAATTTATAGTAAGATCCGTTGAAAATGGATACATTTCGTAGAACAATATCAGGAACTATATCATTTGCATTGCTTATCATCATCCGGACTCCGACGAACATTTTCTACATCTTTCAGTCTTGTCCATTTCATGAAACAATCTGTAAAGGCCTTAATTATCACGTAATAAAGCCGGTAGTGGAATGGATGTGTCGAGCTCGTTACGGCTTTCTAAACTTGCACTAAAATAATAGCCATGTCAAAAGCACTGCTCGACTGACGTGAATACTTTCCGACTGCTTGGCTTTATTTTATTGCGCATGTTTTAATATTAATTGTAAGTTTTCTGCCTCGATGAACGGTCTACGACATAATGCAAATGTATACGCCTGTCAAATCATTTTAAAGCAAATAGAGAAGTTCACGGGTGTTTATTCGCACGCACAATTTCGTTTATAAATAACACGAATCCTTATAAAGTAGGTGTATTGTTTTACTTCAAACAGCCAGTAAACTCGAACAAGTTTAACTTGGAAGTTTTTAGAAGGAAAATTGTGAAAAATAGGCTTTGTTAGAATAGGTGGAAGGGGAGACTGAACGATCCTATAACCATGGTGATTCAAATGCTTCGCTCACGTGTTTCCCCCTGTAACGTCGGTTTGTGATGGATGTAGATTTAAAATTATGAAACGATCTACAGTTTTTTATTCAATTTATTCAACTTTTTTTACTACCTATTTATGAATATGGTGTTGTCCAATGACTGCCTAAATGTGCCATAGAAAATATTGCATTATGTAAAACCAGATGTACCTTACATCATTTTAATTTCATCCGTTGATTATACTGGTTATAGGGCCCCATGTTAATATACTGCTCTTGAAACTTTAAGAACTTATTGACCAATAATAAATATGTTAGATAATTTATAGAGATGATCTCTCGACATAAGAAAATCATTCTATTCTACTATTACCAATTAGCCAATTGGTTTGATATTAGAGTTTATTTCGAGGTTTTCTTCTCACACTCGTGCGTTTTTTCTCTTCCTATTTTCTTGTCCTTTTTTACTTGTTCATTAGTAGACTCTTAGAACTAGTTATGACCAAGATTTTCCTGATTTTTGCTTTTCCACTTTGCCAGTATCTTACGATATATACTTCACGATACTATACGATAGATACTTCATAGACAAACCTCATTTTATCTTTGAGATATTAATTTAATATTACAGTAGAATCATTATTCCGACAATTATCAGTCTGACCAAAGAACTCAATAATATGCTAGAAAAAAAAAATACCTATATAAACTTTACTTAAGTTTATATAATATTTATCGACACGAACTATACCTATGTACTTTATTGTGCGTACCTATGTAGTTAGAGAGTTGAGATTAAAATCTCGTAAAATAACGAAAGGGCGATACCGTTGAAAGAGATAAAGCCTCAGATAGACGTCGTCAACGTCCCGGCTGTCACAAATGTATGACAGCTCGTTATAACCACAAGCAACGGGACACAGCCCTGGGAATATCAGCATATGCGAACTGAATGCCGCTCATAGGGCTCCGCTATCAAAAATGAAAGGACAACCCTATTACGAAAAACACAGATAACGTAGGTTGATTATTATTTTCTTTGTCATTGTTTTTTTATATTTTATATCTACGTAGGTCAAAGAAGTGTATAAGGTTAACATATATGGTAAAGTACCCTTATTTACTTAAGTATTTAATAAATTACCTAATATGTATTTTATTAAATAGTGTAATATAATATTGTTTCCATTGCACTTAATAAAGTAATAGAAAATAATAATAAATAATTAATTATGTTTATTTTATTATCTAACCTATTTATGGAGTCAATCGATCTGTCTTCATTCTCTCCTATTATCCTTCACTGGTGTCCTCCAGCGTACACTGATAATGCAAGCGGTTGATAATTTCTAATCCATAAAAAAAAAACTACACATACTGTTATAGTATCTAACAGTAACTAAGAAATACTAAATTTTTCCGTTTGTTAAGTACCTACTAACTATTAGTAAATAATATTAAGTAAATTGATTTGGGTTGTATTAATCACTAAAAAATTGTATTTTAATTTGCTATAGTAGGTATATAGGTAGTCCATATATTTAGATATTCTAGGAAAAAATAGCATTTATAGATTAAAAATTACTTCGAGAATATTTAGAAATAATAACGGAGCATCAGTAAAAAATGATAGATAACAAAGTGATCTGTCTAAGGACAGTTGCATTATTATCCTTAGGATTAACAAGTCATTAAAATAAACGCATAATTTGTCTACTAATATTGTTATTTTCTTTTCTAATAAATAATTATATTTTTAATTTATCTTAGAATCTTTAATTTCGAATGTCACTTGAGGTAACTAGTGCCATCTATTAATAATAGCAGTTAAAAATCATTGCGCCATCTATAAGTATAATTTACCTTCTAGCTTTGTAAAATAAAGTAATATTACTATCCGATACTAGATGTCATAAAAATATTTCAAAAATTTGTTACTTACTATTAGACAAAAGATGTCGTTTTACGTTGTGCAATTTGTATGTTTCTGTTAAAAAGTCAGGGAATGGCTAAATTATTGTATACTTAGGTACCACACAGTACTTAATCATTACCTACGTTGTTTAAGGGTCGGCACTGTCAAAAATTTGTATTAACAAGAAATATCGACACCATTATACTATATATAAATATACATAGTGTTATTCACCATCGATAAATATCATAGAAAATCTGGGTGTTTTAATATTCAGAATTTTTAAATTCATATTACTCACTTGTAAAAAAAATTACATAGATTTCATACAATTTTTTTTACCAAATTAAGGCGTACACGTATGAACCTATAAATTTGCTAAGTAGAAAGACTTGCTTTCAGTGTTTCCATGCTATGTAATAATGTTTCTATCTAAATATTGACTGATCTGACTGACAGAAAAGACGAAAAGTGGCGTTTCATTCAATCGCTCGTTCATTCTGAGTTTTGGCCGGGCTGTTATCCCGCCCCGCGGTCTCACTTAGCGGTTTAGCCAGCACTTAACGACAACGACACGAGAGAAGCTATTGTCATTGGATTGGACTAAGCATTTGGCCGCTTTTGCCTGTCGGGAATAGTGTATTATTTGTGTAACTAGTGTTGTTTATAAAATTACATGTTTGTTAAGTTCTCACTGAAAACAAACGAAGTTTACGGTAAGTCATTAATCATTAGTTAAGTATATAGATAATATAATATTCTATTTGAATTAATAGAGAGTAATGCACGAATTGCATGAGATCAGTCATGTGAAAATATCAAGATCCCGTCTTTATGATTTCTGGTTAGTGTTGCTTAATAACTGATAATACAATAATTCCGGCTAGGTTTAACTTTGATTCATTGGTTATACTTATGTTCATTACCAATAATGATATCATCTGCCTTGATTAAACGCTACTTCACAAGGTGCTCGCCTACTAACATATTTATGTAAACAATAAGTTGACAATAGGTGATCGAACTCGTAAATTGTATATTTTAAGTAATGAAAGGTATTTTTATATTAAAGTAGATACAAAACTACTTATATTAACTGCCTGTATTTAAGACGTTTTTTTAATATCGTATTAAATCTAAAACAATTTACTTAATAATATCAAATTAGAACATCCATAGCAGCAGTGTGTCATTATAGTGTTATTTCAAAACTTTCTTCAAAGTTTACCTGTAAAAACTTAGTCTGAGTCCTAAACACCCTACTGTTGGACATGGAAACCCCCAAAGGAGGGGAAGAGGGATTCTTAAAAACAGAGATGTACTGGACCTAATGCTAGCATTATACCCTGTCAGGTCCATACAGTCCTCCCTGGAAACATTCTGGTTAATTCCTTCCGAATGTGTGATGAGGAGCCAATTAACCTGATTACTTAGTGATATCCTTATTACTTACTGATATCTCTTCAGCAAATACTGATATTGTTAAGGGGGTTGCCATTTAATTTTTGTCTCATGAAAAACCCCCAAAAGAGGTTATGAGCTTACAGTTACCATTTTCATCAGAAGGCCTATAGTATTTTATTTCAAGTTTTCATGCTCTTGTCATTACATCCAAACTTCCAATGTTTATATTTTATAATATACCTACTCTTTGCTTTTTGTCTCAATATCCTGTGCTCAAAGGTTATCTGGATGAGATTGTTAGCAAGAAGGCCACCTTTTGTATCACTTCTCAATAAAATTCACTGTGTTTTTTAATGGTTACGGTTTTTATAAATGGTGCAATAAAGTGTAAATAAATAAAATTTATTGAAGGAAATTAAGTTTATTTATTATTTATTTATTTAAATAAATATTGTATAATCATCACTATACTATGCTTATCAAAATAACTTAGGGTCGGCAGAATATGATTTCATTCATATACACACAAGAAATTAGCTATTGATTTTACAACTAGCTGCCTGCTTGACATCAACACTCCTTGGGATTGCATTTATTGGTAATATTTACTACCTACAATATAGAAGACTGTTCAAAGAATAAGGAGGTGAATGTTGGGAATGAATAAAGGAAGTTTGTAAAAAAATATGGAAAGGGAAAGAGAGACTTTATGTACAGTTGCAAAGGGGTCAGAAACTACAATGTCTCTAGAGGCCATGGTTGCATACCCATGTGCCCATACTCTAGGACTGGATAGATCACTAAAGGAGAACACTCCTGGAATATTTAAACTTTTAAGTAATATAGTACATATAATGTATAATATTACCTTAAATTTGTTGAGATTGTAATTCCACAATAACAGAATACCACAAATGAAATAAAATAAAATTTTATATTTTCTTAAGCTATTTCAAAAAGGATGAGATTTTCTTCTGTGTGTTTATGATAATTTCATCAATTACTTTATAATAGAAATACAAGGCATATTTACTGATAATGCTAAAAGAACTCTCTTCCCTCTGACATGCTACAAATTAAAATACACACTTGCATATTACTTTGCAATTGTATATTGTATGTATAATATAAAATTACAAGATAATTATATTAAAAATAAAATGTTTATGCTCACTATTTAGTTTATTAAGAGAAATATTAATGAGATATGAATTTTACTTAATGATTTGGTAATTCTATAATTCATGTAGAATTAATATAGGTATAATTAATTGTTCACTCAAGTATTTTAATATTAAAAGATTTATTTCTTTTAATTATAAAAAGAAAACCTTTTAATATTTTTTTGTAACAATCATATACGAGTAGATTATTTTAATTAATACTTATACATTGTTATTACATTCTTAATATAACATTACTTACCTAATATTATTAAATATCTAAACAGGATATTTAGTGGTGTACCCATTTATGATATTAATGGTACCATAATCTTAATTACCCATTATAGGTAGTTAAGATTATGGCATCATATCTAATAATTTATGTAGATATAAGTACATATGTACATAAATTGTAAAATCAGTATGTTAAGTTCTTTGTCACAACTCTACCAGTCTTCTAATTATAAATGGATGAATATAAACTGGTACACCATCTTTGTTAATAGTATACAATGGCTGGGCACCAGTGGAGGGTGTGATGATGATAATGAAGTTGGCCGTTGGCAGTTAATTATTTCATTCATTCATTCATTCAAAATTTCAGCTGTTTTAAATTTTTTTTTGATGGGTGAAAATGGAATGGTAACCTGCACTAACAGGATATGCTGGCGGAGCACCAGTGAAGGGTGATAGATGAGAATGAAAACAGGCCAGTTAGCCCATCATGACGAATTCATTAGGATTAACCATGATAGTTTCTAGGGGGAACCACGAGGAGGTCGACCTGGTTGGTTATGTTGCTAGCAATGGGATTTTTAGTCTCCATTACTAACAATTCCTTCCCCCCCCCCACCCCTAATTTTAGCTGTTAACTGTCCACTGCTGAACATAAGCCTTCCCCATTATGGTAGTTTTGTGAAGTGCTGAATCCCAGGTGTATTCAACACGATAGGCTAACTGACCTGCTTTTTCCTCATCTGTCATCCCTCACTGGTGCTCCATCAGTATATTATTAGCGCAGGCGGAGTTACCATTTCATTATCATCCATTAAAAAAAAAAACGGGTGCCACGCCAGCGTATACCGATAGCGCATGCGGCGTTATCATTTCATTCTCCCCTGTAAAAAACATTGCGGATGAGTTGTGTTAATGGGTTGTCATTCGTATGGTATGGTGTTACTTAAAACCTAGTGATTGATGGTTTATTCGAGTAACGAGATATAATCTGCTATTAGTTGTTACTGGCGGTCATTCAACTCACCTGAAATATAATTATTGCATGCAAAACGTTATGTAAATAGGTATTCTAGTAGATACAAGAAATTGTGTCGCTGACATTGCTACGCATCCACTTAACCCTATATTTATAAAAACGTTAAATTTCTTATAAACATATTTTAGCTATAAAAGTGTTTAGTTTTTTCTTTTTCGCAATTTTCTCAATTTGGTAAACACTGGCAAAACATTGTAATAATTAAAATATATTTGTTTTTATGAATAAGGGGGTAAGCAATAATAATTTATACCTATCCAGATATTGTAATGCAGTGATCCCAAATTTCACATTTTCTAATAATGTTTTGATTAAGTACGTAGATAAATTATATTCTCTTATTTATTCGCAAACATGCATATTTATTAAATGACATAAATGGAGTGATAACACAACCGGAGTTATCGAGTTACGCTGACGGGAGACCTATGATAGCTTTCAACTGGAAATAACCGACAGGAAGGGATTGTTAGTAATGTTGATTCCGAATCCCATTGCTAGCAATATACACTGTCAGATTGACCTCCGCGAGGTCCCCCCTGTAAACCGTCGTGCTGAATTCCAGGTGTATTTATTTGTCATGATAGCTAATTAACCTACTTTTTCGTTCTCACCTATTATCCGTCACTGGTACTGTGCCAGCATGTGCCGTTAGCATAGACGGGATTACCATTCTATTATTATCCATAAAAAAGAGATGAGACCGCGATGAAACCACAGTGGGTCTCACTGTGGTTCTTGTGTTAGTCCCTATCACCTTACAAAATTTTTACCTCGTAGTTTTAAAGCATTAGCTAGGTATGTATGTAGGAGCATTGCTCATTTCATTATGTGAGGATGACGTGACATAACTGTTTAGAATTGCCTTGCAAGCTTGCTCGTAATCCAACCACTGTTACCTTAGTTTTATTATTTAAATTACCAATATTCGTATATCTCTATCAATTTTATTTTTGTGAGAAAATTAATTATATTATAGAATCTTTATTGTACATACTTTACATTGGATACATTAAAAAAACAATATACTATGGCCTACTTATCCTATAGAGACATCTTTTACAGTCAATATTATATATCAATTTTGTAATTATATTTATAATTTATTAATATCTGTTTTTTTTTTAATTAATTTACTGTTTTTTTTTTCCAAAATTTTATCTAAATCAGTTGAGTAAATCATACAACCAGTTATTATGTTAATTGTATAGTCACAATTGATTAAAAATAATCTCTTGATGGTGGCACTTGGTTAAGTTAATCTTAACTATTAAGCAAACAAAATCGTCGGCTAAGCTAGTATAGTAATAAAATTACATAAAAATAAACATACCTACCTATCAATTACACAGAGAAATGAAATTACCACAAAACGTTCCTAACGCACCGGAGAAATGAATTCAGTTCACTTCATTTTCATAATTATCCCATCCACTTAATTCTGATACGGTCATTTGAGAGATCATGCTTATGCCATGGAATTAATTTAATCTATTTATTGTACACGTAACAGATAGAGAGTATTGTATAGTTATAACAATTAAACGAACGCTCATTCTTCACTACTCCGACTTTTCTTCAGTGCAAATGTTGAAATACGAGTACTAAAAGCATTCTTTAGTTACTCAACTAAATTCGCGAAGAATTTTATAGAATTTTCAAGTATATTGACGTCTACTAAAGAACACGGAATACACTCGCGGAATATATATTTTTTTTGTTCGTACGGATTCGCTCATGAAGGGATAGCGTGTTAACATAAATAACTACATATATATAGGATTTGATGGTTGTAGATGGTTATTTTTAATAATTTTATCTTACACCGTCGACTCAATAAACAAACAGTATAATTATATAAATCAATAAAAGA